CTGTGCTGCACAGTAAGCTACAATTCTGGAGTACAAACGGCACTTCATTTCATCCCAAAGGTCCTGAATGAAGCTCCATCACTCAGGAGAACACAGTTCCACTGTTCCATAGGCAAATGCTGGGGGCTTTATTCCCCTCTAGTCAATCTTTGGCATTAGGCATGGTGTCCTTAGGCTCATGTGCAGCTCTCCTAGAGCATCCCATTCCATTGACAATGCTTTTATTAGATTGTACAAGCTGTGTGTGCACAATTGAATGCCTGTGTCAGCAATGGGTGCACCTTAAAGTAGCTGAATTGACTAATTAGAAGGAGTGTCTGGAATCATTCGTGTTTTCGTACATCTGGTCTGCTGCTCTGTGCCACACTATATGTTGTTGTGATGTCTATCATGACATGATACATCTTTCTATTCCTCAATCTCTCCTATTCACTTTATTCTGACTGGTTCTGTGAATTATCTGTGTTTCACAGCATTTGTGCATGGCAGTTAGAGACAAGGTAACAAGTTTTATGTAATTTATGGCGTTAGGTATTGTTCAACATAAGTGTGACAGAAAAAGTCAAAGAGACAGGGAGGAAGAGAGAAAGGGAAAGTAACCTGTCCTTTATGGTGTGACCTGCGATCAGTATTGTCATTTTAACTATGCTTACATGTCAGATGATGTAAACAATCAGTTATATAACTGTAAATTTTGCATCAAAACCCAACAGCATATGGCATAACTTTCTATTTTTCTTCATCTGCTTCTGCATCACATTCTCTCTTTCTCTCTCTCTCTCTCTCTCTCTCTCTCTCATTCTCTCTCTCTCGTTCGTACCCTGAAAAGATGAATCTGTCTAGCTCAGCATCTTCAAACTAGAAATACATCTCCTGTCCATTCATAGTGCCTACAGTACAATTAATATCTAATTACCTTACAGGTCTTAATGCAGGAACAACAGCAAGACACTCAGCTTCTGCTTACCACTGCCTGAATGTCTGTTTGATTTAATGCATTCAATAGCTGGTATTGGCCTGGGCTAAAAGATGTTGTCTTGCACACAGGCGGACAAAGAGGAAGAGGACCTTCTGTAACTGGGGAGAGCTATGAATCATACAAATCCACCTTACAGCACAATAACGTATAATAATGTGCTCAAAATCATGATAAATCTTTAGTATTTTTTTAGTCTTATCCACTTTATAGAACTATACATGTACCACAAACATAAATATTTGACATATTTTGTTTATAAATCAACAAATAAGTGAAACATAAAAAAAACTGTTAACATTCTGCACTAACTGAAATTTCAGAACTGAGTTCTTATTTTATGTTAATAGACCTTACAATCAGAACAGTGATAAGTGATATAGGAGATTCATTTCACATCCCCTCCTAATTAGAACTCAGGGGCTGTATTACAGAAACGTCCTGACTTTAAAATAGTATCTGTTTAGACACTGACACCTTCAGATATAATGGAATTTAGGACAACAGCTACTGCAGAATGACATTTGCTAAGCTCATTATTGTATATCTCCAGATAGGAAAAGAGAATTACAGAAGCATCGTAACTTGCCAGAATTTTCTAAATAGTGTCCTTACTTTCAGATGACCTCAGTGTCCTTACTTTTGTTTTAAGCTTCTGTTTCTACTTTTAATGATTCTGGTAAAAAGAGAATTATATCATTTAGGCAACTGTGACCAGTAGCATAACAAGTTCACTAGTGATAATTATGTCATTACTTTATTCATATTGTAAAACAGTGGTTTCAGTTGTCAAAGTGATTTTTTTCTAGCTCTGCAGTTTAAAAAATCCAAGACACCTTTTCCCCAGTTCCCAGTCATTATGTATATTAAAGTCAGTAAAACATTTCAAACAAAATACTATAGTTATGGCGGCAAAGATGAAACAGAGATGAACATGTGGCTGTTTGTAAACAGAAATAACACACAGGGAAAGCACACTACATAAAGTTGAACATGGGAAATATTCTTAATTTCTCTGATTGAGGTTACTAAACTTCCAGTTCATCTGCATAGAACCTTTATTTCTAACAGTATACTTTTTTACTCATCAGTCGCTTTGTAAGAGACAAAACAACTGATAATTGATTTCCTAACTTCAGATAAGATGTTCTAAATACAATAAGATGGGATTTACTTCTGAATTTGTGCAAAATCTTACCATGAGCTGGTCTGATCTTAGCTTTGGACAAGAGATAGAACGTTTCTGTTATATAAGCTCAGGATTTGTTTGAAGGATTCTTTAGGGCAACATCTACTGCAGTGGCTTGTTATCATCACTATCTTATCATCTTATCATATAGTGTACATGAATCACACAGCAAAGTTGGTATTCCTGCAGTCCAACTAATCCAGACTAATACAACTGGAATACTGTATGGTACAAAATCTTTGAAATAATCAATACAAAGTGGGATTTCACAATTGAATCCAATTAAGAAAACAAAATATAGTTGGAAAACGGTGGACATTTTAACAAATACAGGTAATTTCATTTTGGAATAAGAAGGCCACGCCAAACCTCATGATTTAGGAATGTATTAGTATGATGAATGCCACCTTTACAGACACGATTTAAGCCTATTTAAACTAAAATCCTCATTCAGCACTTAATACAGTTTCACATTAAGCTTAATTTGCATTCAGAAAGTCAGCCTTAAACATTTAACGTCACTGATGAAAACAATGCCTTTCTGCTGTGTCTGTGGAACACAGAGATCCTCTCTCAACTCTCACTCCTATCAGAGTAATATGTGTACAGACACAGCACTGCGCTTATCTAAACACTGCACTCTGAGGGGGTTCAACACCAGGTAGATTAAAAGCTGATAAATCTCTCTTGGGTATAAATACCTCTTCTGAGTTTACAGAACCTCAAATCAGTCTGCGTTAATGAAAGGCAGTTTTTCTTCTTTTTAATGAAAGGGTGGAAGGTGGAGTGCCATGTTGCTGCAGGTCTATCATTTCAAAGGTAAATCATATGGAAAGCAATTAGCCTGGTTCACAGATGTTAACTCTCAGATAATTACATGCCTCATGAACAGTCTTCCTTTCCAAAAACTTTATTAGCCATAACAATGATTCCATAACCATGCTGGACAAATACGTATGGTTTCTCTGGCGTGGCCTCCCTGCCCTCTTCGTTCATCAAATTGAAAAGCTACAAAATATCAGTTAGTCAGAAATAAAAGTTTGTTTTAAAATTCTGTCCTCATAAGTTAAACCATAGAGAGTTGAAGAGGACATTTATTAAACTACACTGTTAGAGTAGCAACTGTCTACCTTTAAGGTTGGATTTAAGGTAGATGTTTTACAGGGGAATTCTAAAGATATTTCTAGATTCTGCAGACACTGTTCTAGAGAAATTTACACAGAGAAATTGTTCACAGTGTTGGTGATAGGAACCGGATGTCCAAAGCATTTAATGCCTCTAAAAGCTACATCACAGAAGATTATTACATGAAATTGTTAGAACTGTTTGATGCCTGAGACACTGATGTGTAATAGTTTTAAGATAAGGTTTTAGCATAAAACATCATTTTAAGCACATTCATGCCAGAAAGATACATGTAGAGCTATATAAAGCAAAACAGTCCCTGAAGAAAGCTCTTTTTTAGATTTATTACTATTTTACCATTATCAACACTACACATAAGAGCTCCGAAGACACGTGTAGAATCACTGGTCACTTTGCATAGTAAATAGAATGGATATTTGCCATAAGGTTTGACCATAGGTTATATATTTTGTTAATTTTCTTAACAATAAACTATTTTACATCACTTTGACTTTGTTTGCGTTGGAATTCCTCTTTAACCAAACATTCTACATATTCATCTCTTTCAAAATGATCTGCAATTTAGTCATAAATAAGCTGTAAAAGCGTCAGGGGTTGTATAAGTCATTGGACACTGCATGTAGTATCCCATACTACACTATGAGGAGACAGGAGTCACATTAGTGATTAAAAGGCAATACAAATCAAACTGTAAAGTGTGCTGCCAACTGTTCCATTGTCAATCCCTCAAATGCATCCCAGACCTCCCAAATGCCCCTACCCAGTACCTTGGATGGCAGCCAAGTCAGTACCATGCTTGTGGACAACCGTGTAACACATGGATGGAAAGTGGAGTCCCGAAAGGTCATCTGCATTTACTCTGAGCTTGAGAATGCAAGCATGAACATTGTCTCAGATTGAGAGTTGTGTGTAAACAAAAAAACTGTCTCTAACCTTATTTTGTTGTGTTGTACCTGCAGGGAAACAATGTCGAACAACACCAGATCACCCAGGAGCCAGGCTTCAGCCTATAGAACATCCCCTGCAATGGGAAACCATGGCTTGTCCTTTGTAGTTTTGAATTGGAATCATCACACTATAAGCAAGCAGATGCAGAAGAAACCTGCCAAAAGCTAAAGAACTGCCTCCCTTTTGAACTGGTCCTTCAGAATCCAGCATTTCTTGTTATACACATGTAGGGCACCATGATCAGGTCTCTATGGTGTTGCAGGTTGGACACTAAGGGGTGTATCACAGCATGCCACCAGCAGTTCCATCTCCATTCACTCACTCACTCACTATGCCAAACCAACCAAACACTGCCCAGGACCTTGGACAGCAGCCACACACATGGACAGGAGGTGGAATCACTACTAATTGCTCCTGCTAAAACCACAACCATTACCACCTCTGACCAGCCACCTCTCCCAACTGCCCATCAGTGCAACGCCAACCATACACAGTCTGAAGAGCTCTCTTACTTTTTTTCTGTATCTGCACCTATCATATATAAATGAAGCACCTGCCTGGGTCTTGCAGTGCTGTTTTGTCTCTGTGTGTATTCATGTTGTGTGACAGCACTTCATCATGTCATGTGTTTGTAAGAAATCATTTTTCTACATAGCTTTATACAAGTGAGGAACACTGGATGCTGGACAGTTTACTCTCATTGCACATGTAATGTTCTCTTTTCAGATTAAAAGCTGTTACCTTCTCATCATCCTCAGTGAAGAGTGCTCCGCTGGGACTCTTGTTGATAGCCTGTGCGACTCCTATTATCTCTCCATCACTGTTCCGAATAGGCATGCACAGCAGAGACTTGGTTTTATAACCCGTCAGCTTGTCAATTTCATCACTGAAACGATGGTCCTGTGCAGGTAAACACATTACAGGATATTACTGTAGCATGATAAAAGAATTTCATGTAGTTAAATGACATGGCAATTCAGCCTGTAACTCAAGATGGGTGTTTTGTGTTACAGAATATTTCTTTCATTACTGTAACACTTTAACCTCAAAAGTGAGAGTGCTGGAACCATGACTCTTGTCGAGTTGCTGCATGTAGGTCAAATCCTTTGCAGATACAGGATACAATCTAAGTTAAATGCTTTAGCATTATATAGAGCTGATGATCCCAGTTTAATCTCTGCACTCATTAAAACAAAAGCCAGAATTAGGAATCACTCTTGCTAGCAGGTCAAGCAATAAAACATACATTAAATAATTATCCTGCTCTCTGTTAGTAAACTCAGAGCTTCATATGGAATTACCCCGGTGCTGTTTCCAAAGTTCCTTATTGAACATTTAAAGGAGAATTCCACCATTTTTTCCAAAGACATGCATAATTCAATTGTCGAGATGTAAACAAACTCATTTAGAGTGGTTTGATGGGAACTGGTGCACTGTACAGAAACTTACCAACTATCATTTCTTTACAGTGGTGGTGGAATCAGGGGTTGTGATGTCTACAACACAAATACAGCCTTTTTATTTACTATCCAAAATGACCAGTTAACGTTAAAGTAATGGTGTCTTCTGAGTTTGTATATGTAATGTTAATGGCAAAATAGTGCTACATTTAAGTTAATAAAGAAATATAAGGAAATATACGTTTTTTGGCTACTATTTTGCTAAACAGCACTCTGCATGTACCCTGCCCTGAATTAAAAAAAAAAGTATGCATAAACCTTACGTCAAAGCTATCATAAAACAGCCAACAGGCAACATAACCATTTTGTGAAATAACTTTCTGTGATCTAGTTTTAAAGGGCATTAAACACTTCGGATGTCTGGTTCCTATCGCAACCACTGTGAACAATTCTGACTCTGTAAGTTTCTCTAGAATGAAACATTTCACACAAATAACTCTGAATGACTTTGTGCACATCCTAATAATCTTAATGGTTTAATTATGCAGAAAATTCCAATGCTGGAATTCCTCTTCAATCTTTGTGTTTCTTTGTTTCTTGTGTATAACACTTTTTGTATCTATTACACTTCATACACACTTAAAAATGGTGGTTCTTCAAGGGTTCTTTAGTAAAGAATGTCAGGCTTGTTACAATAGAAGAACGCTTTTTGGTGCTATAAAGAACCATTTTCAAAAAGGTTCTATATAGAACCAACTACAGCACATTTTCCATCAATCTGAAGAACCATTTAATGATGCAAAGAACCCTTTAATCATGGATATCTTTACTAAAGAACCCTTGAAGACCCATTATTTTTAGGCATGTACAGTAGGTGTGCAGACAGGACCTGAATACTTCTGAATTTTTTTCTCTTGTCACTTGGCCAACTTGAGCTGCCATTGCTTTACTGAAACAAACATTACTTAATAATACAAAAACCAAACAAACGACTAAATAATAATGATAATAATAATAATAATTGCTGTTATTATTATTATTCTTGGAGCAGTATTATGTTAATCCTGGTGAATTTTGACTAAATTCCCTCAAATGTTGAGTGGAGCGCTCAGTGTACTACCATTCAGGGCCTTGGCTAATTTGTGTTGATCATAGTTGTTTTTCATGTTAATTGCTGCCATGGGTTACCAAATCTCTCTGACCATTTCAGTCACATTTCAAAATATTGCTTGATTTGTGAAAATCAATGATTAATGCAAATGGTGTTGCAGTGTTTCTAGCTTTAATATCTTGACCCCATGCACTGCGCTGATGTTTGGGATGGACATCTGTTGCACATTTGATCCTTGCATGTGGATATTTCACATCTGCTTGAGTCACAGCTGCCAAAACTCTTTGATGATTATTTTCATTGGATACATTTGTACACTACTTGACAAACAGATCAGCTGAGTCTGGAAGAAGTGGAGGATCGTAGAGAGCAAACATGGAGAGCAGATTTTTTTGATAGACTAATCAATTCATTAATCAATACAGAGAGCCACACCCAAATAATTACAGACCCCTGGGGGAGTAGTGAAAGATCAACCTGGGGCAAGAGTAAAAGACTGAAAGTAACAGCGTGGAAGTGGAATGTGGTGGGCCTACAAGCACAAGTTGAGAGACCCGAGGTTTCTAGAAGTATCTCACTCTCTCGCACCTGATACGCGTCGGGGATGTTAACAGTCTCTCCGTGCTCAGCCACATAGCCTATAATCCCTTTACCCCACGGAACCTGGACTTCGTCGGAGTTACTGAGGGAGGGCAGCACGGTGGTCCCGGCGTGCACGTCAAAGAATTTGGAAACGAGAGTCTTTTTGTTGGCCGTCCCCTCCACCAAGAACAGGGAGCAGCGGTCGGCATCGACCATGATGCACACAAACACCAGGATCTTGTAGCTCAGACTCGTCAGGTCCAGGTCGTTGGAAATGTCTTTGACCAGCTCCAGGAAGAACTCCCTCTCGTTGTGCTCTTTGAGGTAATACTTGAAGTCCACGGCAGTGGACGGGTACTGTGGGATGTTGACCCGGGACTCGAGCAGCGCGGACAGGATGTGCGCCGTGGTCGGAGGCAGCGAGCTGGCTTTCCTGAGCAGCGCGCGCCTCCGCATGCTGGTCAGCGGCTCCTGAGCCCGCGAGTTGACGTGCTCGTCGTACGTCCTGTTGGCGTTCACGGCTTTGGACCTGGCGAAAGTTTTGCGCAGCTCTTTCTGCGACGCACGCCTCTGGAGCCCGTCGCCTTTACTCGCCCAGCTGTCCTTGCACGCGCTCGGCTTGTCCGGCTCCGCGCTGGCATTCCCGGTGCTTTTACTCGCCTGGTGGTTTTTGAGCCATTTCTCCACCATGCTGTACTTCCCTTTCCTGATCAGGTAGTCCTCGAACAGCTCGGGGTGGTTATCAAGAAAAGTTTCAACGTCAGAAAAGACCATGTTGGACACTGCCATGTTTACGGTCCTCTCTGAGGAAGCCGGAGGAGAGACGGCGCCGGGGCTGGAGCGAGCGAGTCTCCAGCGCTGCGAGCAACGCGAGAAATGCGGCTCAGGCAGCCTCCAACTTTCTCTAGTCCGTCTTCGGCGTGAAGTAGCCTGATCCCAGCCCACCAGCCCCCTCCATACAACTTCAGCAACCGCTTGGGTCAGATGCGTTCTGACCTGGCACGAAATGCCTCTGCACCTCTTTTGTGCTTTTCTCTTTCCCTCCCAGCCTTCCCACGCTGTGCTTCCTCATGATCGATGCCGTTACGTGTGAGCGGAGAGAAACGAGCAGGACTGGACCGGAGCTCGCGCCTCTTTCTAACCCAGCGGCGCCACCGGTGACGTTGAATGTGGCCGCGGAGGAGCGATGGCTCAGCTCGAGTCAATTAACTGAGCCGACTCTTTCCTCGAACGTCAGACTCGATTCATCGATTCAACTCAAGACAACTTTATTCTGATCTCTTTCCCAAAGATCACCGCTCAGTTCAGGGAGGCATAAGAAAAATTATAATTGGTTAATTTGTAAAATAATATGCTCTTTTTCATATCAAATGCGTTCTAAGTCTTCAGCAGACAACACGGACTCAAGAAAAAATATTTGTTTGTAGGCTACTTGTGAACTCGACTCGAGCAATTTAAAGAGCCGGTTCAAAAGAACGACTCGTTCACGGCTACTGTTCAGCGCTCCGGCTTCACGTCCGTCGCCGTGTTCCCCGCTCCTCTCATCCAACAGCGCTCCCGGCTGGAGCCACTTTAATCACGACTAGTTCTTTCTGTGACAGCGCACGACTCAGAACAGCACGTAATGTGAACATTTCCAGAATAAATTTACCACTGGGGCACCAAAGCCAGATCAGAGACAGCCAGTTCCTTGGGCTCCAGTATTAGCCTGTTTTTAAATATGCCTGGTGTTAAAGCCGTGTCTGGTACCTGTGGTTACAAGTAGAATTTCTTTAGCTGCTTTACCTTAACATTGCTAAACATTTTCATTTAGGGTATAGTAAGAAAAATGTGTGTTTATGGCGGAGGGATGAAGTGGTGGTTGGGGGGGCGTGCTTACAAACACTGGGAACCCCCTGAACAAGGATTCCCTGTATCACAAGTACTAGCGGCCTCCAGTGGTCACGACACATACTGCAGTTTGGTCAATTAAGCGCCGCTGCAAAACTGATGTAGGCCTATGTATGAACGTTAGTACTGGTCTTACAGGCTTATAAAAGGGAAAGAGAGTTGCAGCATCTCCACCTGCAGTGAACCATAAAGACAACAGAAAGCTAGCTTTAGAAACGCAGAATTTCTTTTTCAAGGTGTTTTCCTCATGCCACAGAAACATAATTTCAGACAAAGTGTGTCAACAGGCCCCCTATTGAAAAGAAGAACTGTCAATAAAATATTTAAAGCACAAACTACAATCACAGCCATTACAACAGGAATTCATTGCTTTACAGTACTACGTTTTTATTTATTTAATTATTTTGTTTATTATTATCATTATTATTGTTGTTGTTGTAAAGTGTTGTGTAAACTCTTCATTATCTTTTCATTCACATTTTTTTCTCTTCTTTTGATGTTGATGAAGTTGCCGTTTTAGACTAAGGTGGGAACTTTGACCTGCATCATCACAAAAGGAAAACTCTTCTTCTGTTCAGTACAGTTATTGACATTTTAGTGAACGATTGCAAGCAGTCGCTGAGTATTTTTATAGGAAGACGTAAGAGCTTCACATCTTCATGTAAGAGAGAAGTATGAACATGAATGCAGAATGCCTTGCAACACAATTGTTTCCACAACATTGACTGATTTACTATTGATTATTATTCGTACTGATGCATTTGGAGGCCATCATCACCATACAGAGATGTCCCCTTATCACTTTTCTTCCGACATTTTAGTTACTTTTTAGCTGCTATGCTGCTCTTAAATGAAACAGCAAAGACAGAGAGCATTAAAATACCGTGGACACTAGACAATTGTAAAGCCGGGCTGAAAAGGTTCCTATTTCAGCAGAGAGGGCTAGCTCTGCTACACTTACGACACTTTGTTATCCTCATTAAATGTTTAATTTTGTTTTTAAATGTACATTTTATTTCTTCTCTTTTAAATCTGTTTTTGAAATCATGTTTTTAATTTCTATTTCATAGATCTTTTCCAAATGTAATTTGAATTATCTTTGTATTTTTTCATTTGTAAAGCACTTTGAATGACCACAGCATATGAAAGATGCTATTTAAATAAGACTGCCTTGTCTTTTCTCTTGTCTATTTACGTTATGTTTGTTGTAAGATGCTTCACTTGCATGTGCACTGAAATGTAGTGAATCAACTTAATTCAAATATGTACATAATTTTCTCATGCAAGTATACTGCTTAAATGCAATATAAAATATGTAAACAGAAAGAAAAACTCATGCAAGGTAAATATCATATGTATTGTGTTATTATTCTTTATTGCTTCTCACCTCTGATGATACATTTTAATATTCAAACAAGCATGGAGCAGTAAAACAGTCCAAGCTGAGTCGTGTTCTTTATCAAGTCTTACCACAGCATGATGGTCTTATTCTATTCCCTTTAGAAGCTTGGGGTGGGATATGGGTCTTTTTTCCTCACTTAGAAAATAATTTAAACAAACTTTTGCATACAACCGTATCTTACACACTTATTGAAAACACAGTTTTAAAACTGCAACAAAAAATGTGTTTGAGCGAAAGTGTTGGGTTATTCCTTTAATTAAAAGCCTGCTACCAAAAGGGCAAAGGATGCAAGTAGCTTTTTTTTTTCAAATGACACTGATATTTTTCTGTCTTCAACAATTAGACCTTAAATAAAATCTTCATAGACGGTCTTCGTTAGTAACAGTATTGACAGTTCCATCATAAAGAATTCAACTGGTGTCAGTGAAATTTGAGACCATCCTCCAAAACTATCCAAACAAACAAGACATACAGAGAAAGACAATTTTGTCACCTGAATATGAATAAACTGGGTAAAGTCATGATAATGAACAAGAGAAAAGCCTTTATAGATGTAGTACAATTGACAACTCATCATATCATCCATTTACTCTGGCTGTTACTCAGGCTGTGTTGTGTGTTGGTTCTGCCGTTCACCATCTCAGTCATCCTAGAAGAAAAGATCCTGATAGAAAATCTGACACAGCCAATGAAATGGACTAGATGGTCAGTAGAAGTATAGTAAAGGCTGCATATTTCTTCAGAAATTATAAGGAGGTTCTGCACAAGAAAAGCTCTGCATATGTGTAGGTGTATGGCTTTGAATGTTACTAAAATGACCTGACAGGACATGATTCTCAGCTGACTGACATAAGAAATGCAGAATGTGCAGGTAGTTGACTACCAGTAGGTTGACTTGTGACTGTTTTAAAACAGTGTGTTTATATATATTTTTATAGGCTTTTGTTATTTTTTTATGTTTAAAGAAACAGTTTGTAGGCCATTATACAATAGCTGATGTCAAGATAACCTGTCAGTGTGACAATATGCAGCAAGTAACAGTGTGACAATTTGAGACAATTTAAGTCGCTTTGCTCCAGGCCAGGCTACTACACATTAATTATTTTATATATTCACTCTAGTGCCATAACACAATCGCCCCAATATAGGTGTTTAAAATCCATTTTTGTATTAAATCACCTAAACCTCATTAAGCCTTCATTCAATTCCACATTCCCGTTATCTCCTCCCATATCATTCCATCTCATTATGATCACGTGTGTCTTGTTTTTAGTCTTTGTCTTCATGACATCTCTCTTGTGATTCTGAGTTTTCTTGTTTTCTGTTAATCCCTGGCTCTTGTGTTATTTTTATTTATTTTATTTTTCTAGTTCCCTGTCTCTTTCTGATTGTTTTATTTACTTATTTTTTATTTATTTTTATCCATCTCTCTAACTGTTTTTTGACCCCTGCAAAAGCCAATGGACCTATATGCCTGGATCTGTAGGTGCCTAGATCTCTCCCAATAAAAAGACGGTGCAAATACATCTGTAAAGCTCCCCTGTAATGAAAGATTAATTGTTGTAAATATAATCCAGTTCTTTGGCTATGACCTCACTTTACTGACTATCTGAAGGCAAAATCTGTAAAATTATTTTGTATAAAGTACTACAATTGCAATTGGGATTTTTTCACATTTATGCTATTTAGAAAATTAAACTTAATGTGAATTTCCCTTCAAAGGAAGATGTAAGTCATATAGTTACATATTACAGTTAATAACAGATGCAACATAGACAATGCATTCTTCATGCAACCAGAGAGAGAGAGAGAGAGAGAGAGAGAGAGAGAGAGAGACTAGGTCCATAGAAGTCCTTTCCAGACCTCGCCATTGGTGCTCACTAAAGACAACTTTCTCTCTCTCTTTCTGATGGAGCCATTAAAATTCTTTCAGTTTTATTCTTGATTGTTACTGTCAGTGATGGAGTTTGCCAGCTACTTATTAATTAAAACTGATTTCATGCTGAAAGCTTCCCCACCATAAAACACAACAACCAGCAGTTGACTGTGGGGAAATCAAGCCTGGAGATTGAAGATACTGATAATAACAGTAATTAGTGGAGTACTCGTGCTCTCTTACCTCTCATAAACATATTTTGAAAATAAATTTTTGCAATAAAAAAATGATTTTTATAGCTAGATCCTTAAAAACACAAAGGTAAAACTTTAAAAAACTTTTAAAAACTTTAGAAATTAACAAAGTAAGCAAGACTTTTATTTAAGATCGTTGTGATGAACAAAAACATCGATGTGATGAACAATATATAATTTGACTTCGTTTAATTTATTATGATTGTAGGAAATGTTTATTTTCCACTTTAATGTTTTCTCTCTCGTAACCGACCTTTTCGAGAAGAACTTTTATTTTGAAGTACGAGACTGGTGTAACTGCCTCTGATAAGGAGCTATACACAGTGAGCGTTTTCGCTTCAGCAGCGCTTCAGCGTTAGTATTTTCAGTGTTTTCGAATTACCTAGCTAGCTAGTTTACGAGAAGCCAGTTAATTTTTATTATACAGACCTAAGGTTTTTTTGTTTTTTTCAGCTCTATGGTTTTCATTTTGCAGAGTTAGAGGAACGAACAAACCGCAGTCAGTCGGCTAAATACAGTGCTAGCTATCAAGGCTAGCCCTAAAGCCGTTTAAATATGGAGGACTACAACAGGCCGTCGTCGTATCTGGATGAACCCCCAAATAGTCGGCTGTTCCTCGTTACCAGTAAATCCATCACTGAAGACATAATCAGGGAGCATTTTTCTCCTTTTGGCGAAATCCAAGATATATGGGTTGTGAAAGACAAACAGACAAAAGAGTCGAAAGGAGTGTCTTTTGTGAAATTTGCCAAGTCCTCTCAGGCGTGCACTGCCATGGAAGAAATGCACGGCAGATGCCTCGCTGAAGGAACCAAACCCATTAAGGTATGTAAGTTTCACAGCATATGTATGCCCTTAAACGACACTGGGGTCCACTGACTATACAGAGAGGCTACACTGTGGCTGTGCGAAGTTGGATTTAGAGAGATTTGATAAATCATCTACAATTTACCATTAAAATAGCCAATGCCTGGGTTGGTTGACTCACTGTTTCTCTTGTCTCTTTGCATGAACAGGTGTTCATTGCTCAGTCCAGGTCTTCTGGGAGCCATAGAGATGTGGAGGACGAAGAGCTAACAAGAATCTTTGTGATGATTCCAAAAACCTTCACTGAGGAGGATCTGAAGGAGACTTTCAAGGTATCGTTCAGACAATTGATTTTACATGAAACAATTATCAGGTTTGATGACATTTACAAATTACTTGATGCCTCTCAAATGGTTTATGTAACATTTGTGTAGGCGTTACACGTAGCTTTCTCTGTTTTCCTATCAAGATTTATCTCAATTGTGATAGTTTTAATGATACTTCGACATAATGTATATGTAAATATCTAGAAAAGTCCTTATAATATATTTTGCAGTTTTCTAGTCACAGTAGCAGAGGTTTCATATGGGCACACATGGCTAACAGAAATCTTTGAAAATGTGTAAAGCTACACTGATGAAGATACATGAAGTTATTAGTCAACAGAAATTATTGTAGATAGTAGCACACTTTTTGTTCTCTCACTGTCTTACTCCTGGTTCTTTCCCCCAATAGACCTATGGAGATATAGAGTATGCTATTATCATAAAAAATAAAACTACAGGGGAGAGTAAAGGCTTGGGCTACGTCAGGTATCACAAACCCTCCCAGGCTGCTACTGCAATAGAAAACTGTGACAAAAGTAAGTGTTCCACTTCACTGTACATAACAAACTGTAATGGTAGTGTCATGACATGTATAGAACATTTGCATGTAATCTTTTTCTTCCTGCTTAGCATTCAGAGCCATACTTGCTGAACCAAGGACAAAAAATGCACCAGCAGAGAATGAGTGTTTCGGCAACTCAAGATCAGATCATGCAGCGAGTGAGCCATGCTTAAGTGGCTATCCTTTTGGTATGTATTCAACTCTGGAGTTAACTTTCATGGTTATCTGTAGGGTTGGGAAGTATAACATCAATGTGTTATCTCTAGCCAAAGAGCTAGAGCACACTCATTTGCTTGGATTGTTGAGCATTTCCTTGATTTAGACTGTGTGGGCTTATGGTAATAAGTGCAGAGCAATTGACCATTGATTTCTGCAACTATCATTTACACATCTCATTATAATTTTTATCTGAACCGTGCCCCATAAAGTGTGCAGAGTAAAATTCAGTGATAAAAAGAGAAGCTTGTCAGTTTGAGATGGTTGTCAAAGGCTTTCTTACCTGATCATCAAAACTTACTATAAAAAATGCAAGTAATAAACCTAAGACAGCTATATATGTAATATATATATATATATCTTAGATGTGGTACTTACATACTTACATAAGGCTGCCACATTTACAAACCTTGTTTTATTGAAATGGTGCATCACCAAAACCAGATAGCATGAAGTCAGTGCTAAATGAGTTTATGTTATCTTACAGGTGCAGAGTCGAGTAGCTACACTGCTGGAGATGTGTGGAACTCTGACTTGATCACAAGGTGCCTGATGGTGTCGTCACGAGCAGCCATTACACAAGAACAGGTGTTTGGCCTGTTTGATTTGATTCCTGGGATGGACTACTGTGAAATGCAAAGAGACCAGTATGGTTTCAGCAAAGGTAGCACAGCTTGCAGCAATCTCACTCACATGACTTAACTTAGGATAGGCAGATGTGCAGTTGATATTGCATTGAAATAATAGTATCCTGCATATCTGTTCATAATTATATTGAGTATGTTTTCATTAGAAATTTGCTTCAATTTGAAATTGCATATCCTTATATAATTAATAGTTTGTTCTTGTAAATGCTATTGTTTTATATTTTTTTTCTGTGGGCACAGCAGCCTAACAATCTTTATCCACAGGACAAGCTATGATTCGGTACAATAATCTAGGATCAGCAGTGTATGCTAAAGAGAAGCTGAATGGTTTTGAATATCCACCTGGAAACAGACTGTCTGTTACGTACATTGATGATGGAGAGGACAGGACCAGGTTAGACAAATTTTATAGAGTCCAGTACTACACTGTGTCCAAAAGTTTGTAGACACCTGATCTTTTATTCAGGCTTGAATTTTTCACACCTCTGATTTAAGATTATGTTCAGGTTCAGACCATTTTATATTGACCTTTTCTACAGCCCAGTAGGAAAGATGGCCATGCAGTTGGTGGCAGCTCAGATGATGTCTATGGTGTGGAATGGCCCCTCTGGACCTCAGCTAATGAAGACCACTGCAGTAAGCACTACTTAAAAAAAAAAAAATAAAAGCCTCAGAAGCCTCAGTCAGGAATGGTTCCTGATTGAGGTTTCAAGGGACCTAAATGGTGTATTATTGATGGCTACCTCCAGTTTTAAGGCCCTCCATTTAGCTGAATGAAATTTGTCCTGTAGGGCTATGCAGCACCATCAGTGCCCCAGAAGCCTCGTGTGCAGACGGAGGTTGTCCTCCCCTCTCATAAGAAACTGGCTCCTCCTGACAGTGTGGTGAAAGAAAGGCTGTTTGTTATCTTCAACCCCGCACCACTGCCAGTGGACATCCTGGAAGATGTGTTCTGGTGTGTCTCGTTTTGTCTGTTTGCATCATCATTTTATCATAGTCAACCCTGACATTGCAAAACTTAAAGCCACTTTGATTTCTCATTTGTTAGATCAAGGACAGACAGCATTTAACATACCAGCTCTTACTGTTACAAAGGAAACATTTCTCGATATTTCAAATCTTTTTTCATTTGTCTAATTTAGCCTCTTTCTTAAACCCTGCATGACAACGGTGCTAGAGGAAATGCTTCTGAGGCATGTAAAGGCTGCTGCATTGAATGTACCTTTTCCTGGTCCTGATTCCAGGCTGTAGGGTGTACCTTTGCTTTATCAATGGTATATTTACCACTGCTTGGGCAACAGATCAGTTAGAACCAACAAATTGTTTCAGCCTATTGTATCATTATTATTATTATTTTATTATTATTGTTATTATTTTTTGCTGCAGTCGTTTTGGCTCTCTGTTGGAGGTGTACCTGGTCCCAGGTCGAAACGTTGGCTATGTTAAGTATGCAGACCGAAAGCATGCAAGCGATGCCATGGCAGCACTGCATGGGAAAGTGGTGAATGGTGTGAAAATGAAGGTCATGCTCGCTGACCCGCCTAAAGAGGAATCTCACAAACGGCAGAGAACCTACTGACCCTCTCAGCCTCCATGTTGGCAAATAGCCATAGTCAAAGGTAGGTCATAATTCATGGTAAGACTCTTATGGGGAATCTTTTATGATCCATGTATCATAACAATCAACTAAGAAACTTGTTCATGACAAATATTATCAATATCACAATGAGACAAGACACAGACTGCATACTACTAAATAATGAACAAAGTGTAAAAAGAAAAATGTCTTTCAGCCAAGTTCAAAAGGAAAAAACATAGAAATATACTATAACACTCTTTAAAAACCACTGATCATCTGGAAACTGTCTGGATGTGGCCTAGTATTTGAATGAGCATGCTTCGTTGGCATCCATCTGTCCAGTGCTCTTAGCCTGCTACAGCACTCCAGCTGAAATAAACAAAACAGCATAAGCAGCGAGAAATGAGTGAAACAAGCATTATGTAAGGTCACATTTTAGACCATGTCTTGTGTCCATGGCTTACCAAAAGCATTGTCCAGCTTTTATGTGACAATACCTTAAAGAAGATAAGGTTCTTATTCATTGCTGGATGAGCATCCAGGGCATGCACACAAACAGTGTTAGCATGACCCTGTGGACAATGAATGAACAGTAGACATGCAGACAGACAGATGAGGTAGCTTGCTAGCTTAGTTATGCTGGTTGGGTTAGCTTTTGCTCTCAAGTTTTTGTTTTTAAATTGCTCAGAATGTAGGAGAGTGTGAACATGGGGAAGGCATAGTTTTGTTAAATCTATGTGAGCAGGACAAGCCACATCAGCCTTTTGATTGGTGAAGAACAATGCACTCAAGGTTAGGGCTGCCCAGTTAACAACCAAAGGGGAGAACTTTGGCAAAATTCAGTGGCCATTTATTTTAACTCTGCACTATTATTTATAGAACACGATTTGTATACTGTGATGGGGGAAGGGCTAGCTAGCCGATGGAATCAGAAATTGACTCTTAAAAATCGAGAAAACTTGAGTTACAAAAAAAAATAAAAAAAAAATAGATTTTTCCTTTCTTGGTGGTTCTTTAAGACTCACAACAACACCTCTAGAGGAAATGTATTGTTTTTTGTTGTTGGCAGTATTTATTAACATAATTTTCTTCATCTCATGGACTTAATCAAGCGATTTGTCTTTAAAACCTGTCTTGTAACAGGTATCATTCTCTTTCAGTGATGTTATAACACTGATTTGTCTCTTCCATAGTTACACTTGTATGCAAAAGTTTGGGCTCCTTTGGTCAAATGACATGTTTTGTTGATTTATTTAAGTGAAAATAAGTTAACACATCCTCTGTAGAAGATATTGGAAAGAAAACAAAACAAAAAATGTGGCCTGTGCAAAAGTGTGCTCTCTGTAGAGGATGTGTACTTATTTTCTTATCACTTAAGAAATCATCAAAATGTCATTTGTGCAATATGTTAAATTCAGCAAATAAATAGTTCACTAAGGGCTGCAAAAAAATTCCACATTTAAGTTACCTGTAGAGGATATGTTAACTTATTTACACATAGAAGATCAACAAAACTTGTGATTTGATATTTTGGGTCCTTTTCGCCAATTGCCAGTTCTGTTTATCACTACTAATTCGAGAGCCTGAGTCTGCAATCAGAGAAGAAAAAAAAATAAAACAATAACAGTACATGTTGATCATGAACTACAATCATGAGAACATTCACTAGCTTTTCAAAGCTAAATGTTGTTACTGCATAGTGGAACAAGCTGAACAAACTGAAAGTAATAACAAACATTAGCACATACACACACATACGCACAGAAGGCAGGCCCTACAGGAACGTGTTCTTGTATAACTGGTTATGATGTCTTTGTTCCTACAGAGTTTTAAGTGACATGACCCATGACCTCGACATGACTGGACGGATTTTTACGATGACGCGACCTCATAGTTACGGACAGTGACTATCATACCATAATTTGTGATGCTTTTGCTACGGGGACAAGTGCCATGTCTCCTTAAAAGCAGTATTTCTTTTTCCATATGTATGTATTGTGTTCCTTTGTGCGTTGTTAACTCTAAGGACTCTGAAGACGGAGCTTAACTTGACAGGCCCCACATGGAGAACACCGATATTACATTGTTGAACCCATATTCATGTCTCTTGTAGATGGTCTTACTCTTAATAAAGAAGTTAAAAAGAACTCAAATTTCTCTGTGATTATTTTAAGTTTGTTTGCATGAATAATTACTCCAACAGCAGTGTTTCTCTGCATATTATAGTATTGTGATTAATAAGGAAGCAAAGTGAGACTTTGTATGTATCTATCTATTATGTTCATATTCTTTTTGCTGGATTTATTAAGGATTGACAGTTACCTAGCAATAGTCTAGGAGAGATTATTAATTTCTAAGATAACAAAACTGTAGCAACTATTAAGTTTTAGTTTAATTGATTGACTTAACTAACTTTTTAAAATTACAACCCAATAATTTGAATATCTTGAAATGTAATTACTGGCTGCCCATCTAACCTGAAAACTAAACCAGTCTATGCAATTCTAGCTGTACTTGCAGGATAGATTATAAAGCATATTCTGTAAATCTTGTTGCCCTCCACCAGGTGGCAGATGGTTTACAGTCAGTGTAATTGAAACTGTCATTTAATGATGTTTGATGGATGCTGTGTTTGTGCAGCCATAATGAGGAAGAGCTTGTGTCTGACATCAGAGCCCTGATGAGCTTTCATTCCTCTAATGGAATCTATTCATTTATTCACCATCATGCAGATGTTTTTAAAAATGTCTTCAGGTTATTTGCATCAAGATTTCCATGCTTAATGTAAATATGGAATGGTGTTCTTGGTGGAACTGTAGAACATTTTTCATAGAGCATGCAGACTCATGACTTATGAGTCATTCAACACGATCTAATTTTTGTCATGTCAAGAAATCAGTTTTTCTTCCTCCATAGTTTGAATTAGATTTTGCTCTTACCGAAAAACAGAATTTCCCACCCCTTTTTTTGTTTGTGTCAAATAACACTGAAGTTGTCATGGAGTAGAAAAACTGGATGCCATGTTTCCTGTTACCAAAATTAGACTTTGTAATGTCAGGAAATTATATATATATATATATATATAATATAATTTCCTGACATTACAAAGTCTAATATATATATTTAAAAAAACTTAACAAAATTTGGCATTTGGCTCTTATTAAATGATGTTGCTTACTCTTCAACGTGTCACAGTGTGACAGTTCATTATTTTAATGGCTAATTATTATGTATGTTTGTGGGGAAAAACTCAGAAGGGTAATTGTGTTTAATTTTTTATATTAATTTATGTAGGTGTCATTGTCAAACAAATGTTTGACAATGACAAATGTTTTATGTTAATACATTTATTTATACTACATTTATTTATTACTTCAGTGACTAAAAATGTCTGTATTACTAAGAAATTCAATATTATATATATTCAATACCAGGCATCTGAGAAAATAACATTTAAATAATAAATGCAAATAACATCAATACAGGTGTTACTTGTGGTAGTGTACTAATGTTAGTAACTTTAGTACAAGTATTGATTTTTTTTATATCTCAGTTTTCGTATAACCATTCACAGTATTCACAGTAAGCCCAGTATTATTTGTATAGCTGTGTTCATCTAACTAGTTCAAAATGTATGAACATCAAATGAAAAAAGACCTTTTTAACCTTTCAACAACGTATTTAGGCTTGAGAACGATTTAGTATACACTGCACTTGTTTAATGGAAAGAAGTTTTGCACTTACAACGGTACTGAAGTGTTATAACACTAAAGAAAAGCGGAATTAGACGCAATTCTCGTACAGTGAAACTGGATATGATTGATTATCCCGTCAGTAATTTGTCTAAGAGGCTATTATTTCCCCTTGTTCAATCAGCCAGATATAATGTGTTTATCGAATTAACCACAAGCGACAATGTGTGACCCTCTGACAGGGCAGTCACTATAGCAGCACGCCTTTGAAGTGTGTGAAATGAATTGATGAGCCTGAATTGGATGAGCTCGATTAGTGGGCCCGGCTCCGTGTTTTTCACGCTCGGATCTGGAGTGATGATCCACTCCAGGCCTTCACTCGGCCCTGAAGTCATCCTTACCGCAGGGAGGAGCGTCGAACAGCAGCTCTCGGTAGCTGCGTTCAAATTCAGCCATACACAGCGCTCTGCTCACTTTATCCAGCTCATTTGAAAGAAAAAACTCAGCGTCGCCGGTTTAACGATGCGGCTCAACGGGAATAACCGGGGAAACGCTGATATCTGCTGACAGAGAAAAGAAAGCGATCGCCTCTAATTACAGCATCCGGAACTGGCAGCATCGCTTTTATGCGCCAAGAAGATGGTGAATAGAGCTAACGGTTAGTAGGTAGCTCTTCTGCTCTCGTGTGATGCTTGACTTGCTTCACCACGTTTGCTTTCGTTTTTGTCTATGGCCTGTTTTTAAATACACATTTATTTATCCTGTGCTTTTACCTTTGACTGTGCTCAGCATCCAGTGTCTTCTGGCTACTGATAAGCTGATTAGAATAAATGAACGGCAGATGGACATTTTATTGCATCCGGAGCAATGGCACATTGTTCTTTTAGCTTTATCAGTAGTTAACAACCCATACTGCTGATGTGTATTGCAGTGGTGGTTAACTTACAGTCTAATCAGGAATGTTGCAGTTCACTGGGCCCGTTAACATTGAACTGGGCAGTAATAGGTGACCTGTGTTTCTTCCTGCTACCCATCTGTATCTTCTCTAGTTCCTCTGTAACGTCAGTTGTCTTTCGTGGATGTGATCGTGTTGTGGGGTGCATGAAGTACATATCTACCTTTTATTCATTGTGGTCAGAATGTGAGTAATGACATGCTCCCCATCATGATAACCCTACTGTATGTACATGCCCGAGTAGGGTGTACCATCACAGAGGTGGACATTTCCTCTGGCCAGCCAGTAGCATTTTTTGGCCTCTTAAAACCAAGGTCAAACAGTGACATTGCAGTGGGCTTAATATAGACTCCACGCTTTCCTAATGCAGCACTTGAGATGGTACAGGATTGAGAGACACCTAAGTGTTTAGTGGTTCACTGCCTCTCCAAGCATTGGTCACAGATCTTAAGGCAGCGGGTAGCAAAGCAAATAAAGAGGAACTGTGTGTAATGTGGTTTTCAGTGTGGCAGTTTGTTTTTGGCCCATTAAAGGACAGCAAAGCTAATTGCTACTGTTTTATTTCCCCCACTAACATTTAGAAGAGTGAAAGACTTAGAGGGCTTAGGATGAGATTGCACAAAGTAGCTGTTGTCCTTAGATGACTGAGAGTTTTCTCCGAATGTAGCCATACCTACTAACAACTACATCTGTCCCAGGTTTACATACAGCGCAGCTTATGACACTTTGATGCTGTTTCCCATTCAGAAGTGTTTTAGGGTCATTTTTTGTAATAGCAGACTGAATAATATTATTTTTTAAAATGGAAATGTATTAGAAACGGTCTGTGCCTAATTTAAATGAGGGCTGTTTGCAATTGAAAGTCCTAATGTAGTCAATGCAAATTATTTCTTATTAACACCATGCTCTCCCTCAGATTAGAACAGTTGCAGGGATGATATGTTGGTGTGAAGTTACAGTTTCTATAAAGACTGTGCTCACTCTACTGTAAAGTAAGCCAGGCCATAGGACACAGGACAGTGTCGCTGTCGCTATGGACACAGGCTGTCTGACCAATCACATTGCACGTGTATTGAATCGCCAGCACCTGTAATGGTTTACATACAACAATAAACTCTCGGTGTTTCTGTTTGTCACTGTATTTAGCTCTGTTTGTAGCAAACAGAGGGTTTTTGGAACTGTTTGAATCTAGTAGGATAGGTTTGTTTATATTGAAACACTTCCTCTTATTCTGTTTAGCTTTTTGAACACTGGTCATGTTGCCAAAATCTTGTAGAAGGCAGCAGGCCGCAGTAGTTCAGTATCATACTGAAATCCCCAACTCATTTGGCTGTGTGTATAAGCTGCTTAATGCTCTCAGTCACCGGCTGTGTGCTTATTCTAAGTGAGCCACTCAGGGCCCTCCCTCCTCCACTGCCGGGGGATGTTAACGTATGTTTTAATCCAGAGATTTCCGTAGTAAAGGACACACACGCGCACACACGATATTACAGCTGAATATGAGGTGGGATTGTTGCTATGCATGACTCATCGCCATTAGCAAGGTCCTGAAGCACAAGCTTTAGCTTAATGTTCATTTATCAGCAGCTTGTTCCTACAGATTTGATACCAGTGTGACCATCAGTCCTAAATAGATTAGTGCTTTATTTTATATAACAAGTGATTTTTATTAGTTTTATTAATTGTTTGCTTGGTTAATTACTGACTCTAAAAAGCATTTATTAACAGATTGTCCAATTTGCTGCTACCCGTTTTTATTGGTTTTGAAAAGTAGTAATGGAAAATTGACCTCTCAGTGTGTTTTACAAAAGTATTGAAGTGTTCCAAAAACTATTATTGTTTCATTAATATTATTGCAGTTTAACTATATCTCATTACTATCACTGTTAAAGGAGCGTGGAGTACCTTTTACATCTTTCGTCCTGCTGGTCATATGACTTCCTGTTGATCAGGGGATCATGGTTTCAGAATAGTTGGCTTATAGTTTTGACAAATGTTTTCTCAGCTCCTGGACCACAGTGACATTTCACTTCTCCTTATAATATAGCCTAAAAGATTCCACATGTGCTGCCATTAAGTAGCTCAATATTAATTTCTTGTGTATTTTATCAAAGTGACATTTTTCCTTGCATATTGTTTTTTTGTGCTTGTTATTTTACAAAGATGTCAGTAGGTTAAGATTCCTAATCTAGTGATTTGTCACCTAGCCATGTTTTAATTGCATTCCTGCACCCACACCTGGTCTAGGAATCAAGTTCTGTAGAGCACTAATTACCTGTTCAAGTACATTAGAATGGTGGATTAAAAAAGTAGGACTGTCAAGAGTTCTTTGAAGACTGTCATTAGGGAAACAGACATATAGACATAGGGAAGCTGTCATTATCAGAAATGTGAATGTTTTAATGGGAATGCATTAACCTGAATACATATATTAAAGTCAGTGATGTGGACTACGCATCTGCAGGTGAAACAGACATATAGACATTGATGTCTGTGTATTGTGCTTTTTCAGAAGTTCTGTGAAGCTTATTTGCAGGACTGTGTTTCTGCGTTGCTCATTTTAATGAGCCTAGACAAATCAGGCTCTAAAGGACAGGCTAACAGACAGGCCTAATTAGAGGGTTTTGCTTGTGCGCATGACTATGCATGATCATCATTCACATCAGTGATGGTCTCTCAGAACATCACTACACTAAACGTGAATGTCTGTTCATCATGCAGCTTATGGTTGATTGTTGCAGAAAGTGCATTTTCTGTGTGATGCGTTTACAGCTTAGGGCAGTGCAGGTGTGAGCAGTGACCTGACATGAGAAGGAAACTGAGGTGGACAGAATAGGCTTTTCCTGTCACTCCAGAGGCTTTGTCATTGGCAGTAAAATTCTGCTGAGTCATGGAAAAGGTTTATTGCTTCTTAACACTGCTGAAAGGAAAAGCCCGAAGCCGTTGAATGTGCACAAATTACGCATCAATGAAGTGAAGATAATGTTGACTTTTGGTGAACTGTTTGGGCTACACTACCAAGAAAGGTTAAGTTGTTCTGACATGTATATGAAGACAAGAAGAGTTTCTAAATTTCTTTTTTTTGTCTTGAATTTTATAGAGATTTTGACACAAAATACAACAGTACAACTTTGGGCAATTAAACTCATAAGACCATTTATCAGATCATTTACCACACGCACAAAGGCACACAAAGGTAAATTGCTGTGGTTATTTTGAAGGTTAGGAGTTATGACCTTATGTGTGAAGGAGAGCAGATCTATCTCAAGGTCCCCAAAGTTAAACATGTTGGCAGTAATCTGGTCTGGAGGCCTGTTTTGCTGTTGCTTCACTGATTTTAACCTAAGCTTTACATTTGGTCCAAGTAGAACTTGGGTCTGACTTTGAATATGAAGTCAAAAACACATGCAATACATGTTTGAGCTACCTATGTGCAGGTTTTTGAACATGTATAGAATGTATGTTTTTGAACCAATGGAGCCACATTAAAAATACTATCAAAATCTATAAATACATCATAAATACATAAACACAGTATAAATACTTTTTTCATTTTTTCTAATTTTCACATAATGTGCTGCACTAAATCCAGTGAAACATGACTAAATATGCTGTCTTCGTCATGAAACATACAGTTGATAAGTACTGTACTGTGGTTAGAAAAGCAGTTTATTAATTACAAATTAATGTATCATGACAATGGAAAACTCAGTTCTTAAAGCTCTGTTCTTATATGTGTTCTTGAAGTCCTGCGTAACAGTCTTTGCACTGATTGCACTGATCCACGTTTCTAGTAGTCTATGCTCTACTCAGAGAAAATGTAAGAATGAATAATTCTCCAAAATAAGTTATTACATAGTAATAAGAGGACACCCCTAAACATGTAGGCCTGTGTGTGATGATAAAAAAAACACTTTTAAACCACTTTTCCTTGCTCTTTACAACACCACGTAGGCCTAATCTCGCTCTGTCCTGAAAACTAAAATTAGACAAGTGCAAAGTAGCCATTTTCCCATTTAGTAACCATCTTCCCTTGTGCACTGTGGCTGCTGCAGTGTTGTATGTGTACTGTTCTCTGAGGACAGTAGTATTGATTACATTGTTCTCGGCTCAATTACAGTAGCGTGACACATACCATTCAGACAGGGAGTCTGGCAGCTCTAAAGCAGCTATTCTCAAGTCCAGACTTGGAGACCAGGTACACTGACCCTTTCTGATGACTAAATAAGTCTTTATCAAGAGGCATCCATCATGAATCAATTATTTTAGACCAGTGACAACACAATAATGTGCAATACCTTTGTTTATGCTCATCATCTGTGTGATTGTGTAACATCAGACCATGTGAGCCACCGAAGCTGTCAAAGCAGTGCAGTACTGTAGGACACCACTAAAGTGCATGCATTAATTATGTTTCTTTTTAATTGCAATGGACTAAACTGCAGTGTCTGTTAATGTATAATTAGGCTAATTGTGCAGACATACTTGAATGTGAAGCTTTAGCTACCTTCCTGCTCTGTTCAGAGAGGTTTGAAAAATTGCTGATTCAGGCTGACACCCATCTAAACAACAGGATACATCTGTACCGGTCTCCCCCAGAAGAAACATGCTCACTAAGCACTCTTAGTTATGGCAAATACTATGGCCAGCTCAACATACACGCACACACATGCGCATCTATAATTTAAATCATCTGACCCTGT